TGAGAGAACAGACATATTTCAACACAAAGTTCCCACAGAAATTATATTGCCCTAAAGATACCATAACATTGCAGAGAAAATAAATATTAAGGAAAGAATGGGTAATTAATCTGCCTCATTAACATTAACAAACCAATTCTTGACAAAAGGAAATGCTTCACTCTATTGGCATGGAAAATTAGACCCCAATTAAGTGGTGATTTAAATAACTTGACATTATCAATCGCTGTCTACAGAATTAGACTATAAAACAGATAAGCATGTGGCTTCAACTGATTACTTTCAAATCTGGTCTAGTTCACATTATAAAGAACCAAATTTTTAAGCAGAAATATTCTTACAATCCTTGTTTCCAGAAAAACTGTAGGATGAAAATTTAATAAGGAAAGAAATTACCACTGACATTAATATTATTGAAAAGACGATTAATAAAAATATCACACTGTCAACTACCCTTGACATGATGGATTTGATTATTAGTAGGAAGACATGCCAATATTTCACAGAATCAAAGCTAAGAGACTTGATTCAATTAATTTCTAGACCCCTCATCTGAAGAAACTGTAACCTAGAGATGTTAAATGATTTTTCAAGGTCACACAACTAATTAAATATATTACAGACCAGGTCCGTGGCTTCCTGACTCACAAGACTCTAATATTACTCTTTCCTTTATACTACCCCATATCCTACGAGGTCATTTGTATATTTGATAGCCCATATTCTAAAAATCTTAGAATGGTTTCATATGTGCATGCGGTACTGGCTCTTCCTGGTGTAAAACAAAATTGAAATTAGAATACGTTTGGTTTTAAAAAATGCAAAAAAAAAAAAAAAAAAAAAAAACTAGGACAAGGCATTTCTAATTTATTCCCAATATTCTAAATCCACTTTGAGAGCTTTAACAAAGGATCATAATCTTAATTATCTTATCCTCAAAGTTTGTCAAAATAAAACAAAGTAATGTCTAGGTTACTGTGGACCATCATGAATCAAAAAGTACGATCTCCTTTCTTCTGTATGATTAAAGACTACAGCTCTGTTCCAGACATACAAAGCAGAAGCAGCTAAAATCCCCAGTTCATTAATTCAGATGCAAAAATTAATTGCCATTTCCTTACCACAAAGCATCACCTACATACCCCAAACATGGACAAACCATTATTTCAAGAAAAGCATTAAGTCATTTAAATAATAATTAAACTGCTTTTTAAACTGCAATGTCCATAACACAAACAACAGTGCCTACCACATAGTATGCACTCAGTAATTATTTGTGGAATGAGAATGGGATGTCTCTTTTCAACCTACCTCCAATTAGGAACATCCTGCACTATAGATAATGCTCTTATATTTAAAATCACAAATAAATGAAAAAATTTCTTATCACTCAGGAAAGAGTCTAAGCCTTAAGAAAATAATTTAGTTTCTAAACATTTTCAGTTTCACAACCCATGTCAGACTAACTAGGATATTTTTAAAGAAAAACACTCATCTAATCTATAGTTGTCATTAAGTGCCCACAGATTTTCCTCACAAAGATTCTTGAAATATAATAATGGCCTTTGAAAATTTGTCATGTCTTTCTTATATAAATACACTAAACAGAGATTAACAAAAGTCTGACTTTGCCTGCCATAAACGTTATTTGTTTAATTAAAACAATATACTGTCTACATTACATAGTCATTTAAGATAATGAAAAAGGTGAGGAATAAAGTGAATAAACCTACCCTAAAAGTGCACACCACAAGCCAATTTCATCTTTTGAAAGCAGAATGATAGAGACAGGAGGTAAAGTAGCTCTTATCAATTATGTAAGGAAAATTATTACATATACAGAATAACCACTTTTATTAGGCAATATCCTTGCACAAATAAACTAATAATAAACAAAGAATTAAATGATACAAATGGGCAAATGATAAGAGTTGACAGTATTGGAGTACCTACTGGGAATTTCACATACATACACAGGTATATGCAGATGAGCTTCAAATTATTACATATTGGCTCTTACCTTAAGAACCATACTACATACTTATATCCCATCAATTACCAAACAAGGTTACAGGTTTGCTATAAAAGGAATCATAATACTGATGTGCCTCCAGACTCATGTTAACTTACTAAGCATTTTTCCAACTACCTAGACCTGAATAGGGATAAACAGAACTAAGAGGACTGTATAGGAATTAACCAGCCAATAGATATTTGTCTGATTTCTTTTGGTATTCATATTGGAATGGTATTGATACATCTATTCACTGAATGATTCATATACTTATAAATAAACGTATACTTATGAGAAATCTTTTTAGTAGCTTTTAGCAAATGATATCTAGGGGAACAATAAGAACTACAATGAAACACACATTTCCAGATATAAAGAAGCACTTTAATACATTTCACCTATGATTTATTTCTGTAGGTACAGTGAACAGAAAGGCATGTGTTTTCTTCTCAGTAGCATTTCTCTAAAAGAAATGAAAGAAGCTGAAATAATTTCTAAACTTTATACCTTGATTTTTTTAAATGAGAGGTCACAGTTTCCCATAAAATTACCATTTCATGAGAAATAAATTCCATCCTACCTGCAAAAACAAAGAGCATCTTCACACAAAGACAATATGGCAATGCCCTTCAAAAAGATTTTGGACTATTCTTAATTTAAATTTTATCTTTTTAAATAAGTAATAGATTCACATGGTAATCTTGATTTATTTCTATAAATAGAACTACATCCAAGCTGTAAGTCTATGAATTAAGTCTTGACAGAACAAGCTCAAATACTTAATATCTATGAATAGTTTGGAGACCTGGCTTCTAAACTGGATGCTGGTATTAACAATTAAAAACCCTTGGCTACTTTTATGCTCTCTGGAACTTTTCTTATCTATAACTAAGGTTCCTGGATGAGATAATTTTTAAGGCCTTTTTTAATTCTTTATTCTGAGAATCTTATTTATAGGACCAAGCTTTTAAATTCGATTACTAATTTAAGACTGTCAAAAGTAGCACTTCCTAGCTTTTCACATTTAAACTAAACTATAATGAGAATGTTATTATTCATTTTAAAATCTTTGTATTTATTATAAAACAATTTGACTAAATCAGAAAAATATGAATTTTTAAGACCTTATATTTAGATGTTAGAGTTTTAGATGGCTTATTTTTCTTTAACAGTGACATATCACTGAAGGTTAAGTAGAGAGGAATAAATTATCCTTCTCATTTTCAAAAGTTACACTGCAAATTATCCTTCTCATTTTCAAAAGTTACTTTTAACGAATTATTAAAAGTAAACTACTATAAATAATTCACCATAGATTAAAATGCAATTATTTATTTTCTGAAATAACCTATAGGTTTTTTCCATTTGGGGGCAGAGGGAGGAGGGAGAGGGAGAGAGACAGACATTCTCTGAAGGAAGGAGAGAAGGGATGAAACAGGTAAAAAGATAGACTTTTACTATAACTTGAAAGTTCTCATTTAATTAAGAAACCAAAGAAAATTTTGAAGAGATACTAGAAACAAGCATGATAAGTTATTTCTGTGTTATGGCATAGGAAAAAGAAATCTGCAGAACTTATAATTTCCTCACTGTTAAAGCATTTGTTTTGCATTTTCATCTTGCATTAAAAGTCTACGAAAATGCTGATGAGTGTAGGGGATTTTAAAAACGTTAAAAATAGCTTTGTAAATATTCATCGAGCATTTGTGTATAACTCAGAAATTAGACCGTAAACAGCTTCACAATGCTTAAACTATCACTCTGAAATAGTTACTCATTAATAATTTTAAGATACTTTTGAAAACTCTTTAATCATCCTATATTATAACCCTCAGAATATGGAATCGGAACCTATTCAAACTGAAAGAGATCTTAAGCAGCCAAGAGTTCAAGTTACTTGCCAAGGTCTCATGTTTCTATGTTCTTTCTGCAGCACCATGAATAAAATTTAGAAATCAGCAAATAATAACAATAGTAATAATAACAAATTTAAGTATTTAATAACCAAATCTAATAGGCAATTACTCATCACTGATAGAAATGTAGTCATTGGAATTTACCGAGTGCAAAAATACAGGTCGCAAGGTTAACAGCTTGTCTTATTGCATAAACCATTAAAAAACTAAAATTTAATATGAACTGCCCCCTCCATGAGATTATTAATCACAGTCCTTTAAAACCCTTCTTCTTCTCAAAATAATAAAGCATTAAGAATTATTGTCTAAATAGAATAACAGAATACTATGGGGAAGAAATAGAATCTTGGTTTATATAAAAGTTCACATAAGAAACATCCTGTTCCACATAAACTTGACCAATTCCTTGAATTCTTGTGTGAATAAGATGCATTATTAGTGAACCTAATAAATAATCAATTCAAACTCTGTAGATGATACATTTAAAACCACAAATATACACTAATATATACTCTGACAAAACACATACAGCTTAGAAAGACTATGTAAAATACATAAATGCTAAATACCTTATAGCTTTCAGATATCATATTGAGCTCCCTAAATTAAGAAAAATCCCTCAAAAAATGTTTATACTTAATGAAGTTCCCATTTTACATGATAGCATTTTATAACAAAATACTGATCCAGTTGTTTCAGTGTCCAAAGTTATTTTTATTTACTTTGTTACAATCCTCTTTTCCCCCCCCAAAAATAGAGTTGAGGTAGAAAATCTTTTTTCTTGTTGGCATCTTAACAAGTATGAAAAAAATGGCAAAGCCAGTAAACATAAAAATGACCTATCCAACTATTTCAGCAATGATTTTGGAATGAAAGCTTTACAAAGGAGGGAGGGCTCAATAGAATGTACACCCTATATAAGCCAGTGAAGGTGCAGACTTTTAATCCAATTAACTCAGGATCTATTTCAGTTTTGAACAGAAACATAAGTTAAAATACACACACACACACACACACACACA